ATCCGACCGGATCTAGATCGCGCGGTGGTCCACGGCAAACAACCCCGGCGCAGGCAAAGAACCCACAAAGCGAGCGACCGCAAAACAGGAGCTCGCGATTCGTTCGACACAAAAGGAGAAAAGTTGTAATCTTTGTTTATTTTTATTTGATTTTCGTTGTAACCGGATCTTATAAAAAGACCGGATCTTTTGTAACTCAAAAAGTTGTAACTCAAGATGACAATGGAATCAATAACAAAGAAAGACACGAATTTTCCAGCGAACAATCTGGCGACCACAGTGGGAGCCACCGATCTCGCTGCCGAGATCGGAGCGTCGCAGCCGCGGATCTTGATCCCAGTCGTGGAGGAGGTCGAATACGAGTTCGATCAGACCAAGTTCGAGGAATACCTTTCATCCTCGTCTAGATCAACCTCCCCCCGCAAGTCCAAGAAGTCCAAGTTCTCTTCCAACAGAAAGGTGCGTTGGTACGAAGAAGTTGAAGCTACCAACGACGACCTCATCTCGATTGACGCCAAAGTTGCGTCAGATGAGGCTCCACCAATCTCCAACCAGATCAAGCTGGTTCCAACCAATTCCTCCGTCACCAAAGGAGCGGTGACTCTCTCAAAGAGAGCCCGCCAAAGGCAACGCCAACGCTTGGCCAAACAATTCGCCAAAGCGATGGAGTCCACCGACGGAGTCCGCTACAACGCGGGTCTGAAGAACAAGAGAGGCAAACAGCCTCAACAACAGATGAACGGCGCCTCTTCCAAGCCGCCAACAATGGAATGGGTCCGTGTCAAACGGAATCGTTCGACGCTGGAAGAACGCATCCGCAAACGCCGCGCACTATCAGCGCAGGCACGGGCTCAAGCCGAAGAAGCCCGTAGAAAGTTGCAGAAAGAAGTGGCCAAGAAGCCGCCACCAACTCGCAAAGTTTGGAGGCCAAAGTCTGAAGCGGCAATTCAGGCTAAGGAGCAACCTTTGCAGCCTCCAACCAAAATTCAACCTCCGGCGAACCCAGCTAAGTCGCCGAGAATTCCCATAGCTACTCCGGGAGATCATGCAGAATCCTCCCGAAGAAGAAAGCCAGTCTTGGAGCGCCTCGGTCCAATTCCCGATGAGCGAAGCAAAGCTCCGATCCAAGAACGTTTGGGCCCACTAAGAAAACCCCGAACGAATCAACACGCTGGGGGTCACCGCTACCTCCAACATGACAAGGAGCTCAAGGCAACTGCGCGCGCTAATTTGCGCATTGAGGTCCAAGAGCCCGCTGAGAATTCACGCCCAAAAAGGCATGTCTCAAGGCGCGTGACTCTTGAAAGTCCAAGGAAGGCAATTCGCCCTCAGATGGAAACATTATCATCTGATAGTGATAATGTTATACCTGAGAAGTCGTGCCCACACACGATAGGTTACTCCGACTGTCAAAATGACAAGTTGTACTATCGTGCTGGGGGTACGAACAGAACCAGAAAGAGGAGTCCCCGAGAACAGGAAACTCAGTGCCCTTATTCAAAGCTCATTCGGGCGATACTGTCTCAATGCAACTGCATCAAGGTAATCCCCGAGAGAATTTCAGTGTTCGAAAGACTCAGCACCG